CCACTGCTAGGGTTGAAGAAAGCACAGAGTGAGCCAAGCTCTCAGGAACAGAAGGGAAGCCTCTCCTGCCTCTCAGCATCACAGTTTAGGCAGTTGAAGAGGCCGTTCTGTGCAAACGCTGTTCCAAATTTCTCTTACAGTCGGCATTGCAGAATTATAATGAAACCACAGGAGTTGCTGTATTGTGATATTTTACATGTTTTTAAAACCTGCTGTGACCTGCTTTCTGGCCAACTCCTCCAGCACTCATCCTTATTCAGAATGCTACTTATTTTTTTGCTTCCACTAGGACTGAAGCCACCAGATGCCCCTAGTTAAGATAACAAGCTTTCCAACACTGCTTTTCTGCACATGCTAGTATGGTTACCCTAAGTAAAAATAGTTAGTGTTTCTAATGGTCATCACAACCACTGACACAGGCTGCTGTTAAGAAAGATTGCCAGATACTGCAGTTTGAAAACTGGATGGAAAACATTAAAAGAGGAGAAACGTAAGGAACAGGAGACAGATTCACAGAGGTGCCAGGAAAGGGATAAGTTGGAAAGAAACCAACGTAAGATGCTGAGAAGGAAAGCAGAGAATATATGGACTATATGGGGAAGGGAGAAAAATGCCTTCAGCAAGAACATAAGTGAAGGGAAAACATGAAAGGGGATGCAAACAGCATAGACAAGAATGGGACAGTGAGGGAATGGCAGAGAAAGGCAATGACAAAATAGTGATAAAGGAGGGAGTTGAGGAAGAAAAAAGTCAGATCTCCCTTCTAAGAGATAAGAAAAAATAAATGGAATCTCCCGCTCAAAGCAGCCGGCAGCAAGAGGAACATAGTACTGTGTATACCTTTGATCAGAAAATGTGAATTAGACTGGCAACAAATTACACAGAGGTGTCTTTCCCCAGGGCAGAAATCACAGAAAGAATCATTTGTAATCTCATAAATCTCATGAATTTTGAGTACTTGGATAGGCAGAGTTGGAATCATTACTGACTATGGAAGAGCAATATTTTCAGCTACAACAGGCTCTGGCTTCACAGCACTCCATACAGCTGTATGCTCTTTTGTCCACAGACATGACATGGCTTCCTTGTCTCCCTCTAAATCCTTCACAATTTGGAAACCTCTCCTGAGAACACTCTCGTCTCTTTGCACGCATGAAGCTTTCCTAATTGCTCATTATACTTTTGGGAGACAACCTCTACTGAAGGTCATTCTGTGGGACAGTGCTGTTCTTGCAGACAGAGGTCATTGAACACAGCATCAAAACGCTTTAAAAGTGGGTACTTTTTCATCCTGCCTGAAGAGTTCAATGCAGTGGCTATTTGACTATTATTGGTATTCCATTAAATTATATTCCATCTAGTAGTATGTTTTTAAGGCTGCAAGGTCAAACTCTCAGAAGAGAGGAGACTCCCAGGGTAAGGAAGGATAACCCAGTGGCCCCATGTGCCTGTGTGTTAGGACAGATGGTAGTCAGAGGACCACATGTAATTTTTTGCTCCTGTTTGGTGTACAGTGTGAGGCTTTCCATTAGATCCTTCCAAAGAACTCTGATCCCTAAAAATCCACCACAGAAGACTTTAACTTAAAGTCTGCTGCCTGCCCGTGGGTTGCAGCAAACTGCAGGAAACAACTGGAAGAGGTGGCAGGCCGGGTTTGGGGCAGTTTGCCACCAATACAGCATGTGTGCTCTCTGCCCTGTTTGCTTCGCGTTTGAAGAACCACCTCGGTCTGCAGGGACCACGCATCAGCAGGCTTCAGCAGGAACACGTGTGCTCAGAAGTGTTCCTCTTCCTGTCTGTTTGAAGGCAGCTCTCCAAAACCTATGTTCAACCAGGTCCTAGGGGTCCACCTCTAGTGGGATTGTGTATTTTTTTTAACAGCAAAGTGAGGAATGGCCTGCAGCCCTTCCTTGGGGAAGCCCTCATGAAGAGAGGCCTCACGGAGAGAGCAGCTCCCACCACCACCACGGGCCCTGCTGCCAGCAGAAAAACAGCTCCAATCCCATTGTTCTCTTGTGGCAAGGCCGAGATTCCCATTCAGGGCATTTAAACGTCATAAATCAAAGCATCTACAGTAGAGCTAAACTTGATCAAGATCAGGCTTTGCAAACAGGAAGGCAAATACAGGCAAATACTGCAAGCTGCAGAGCTTCAAGCTCTGCTCAAAGCTACCTTACCAAAGCGAGCGCACAGCTGCATTTTCTTTTAAAATACTACTGCAGCCTTTCAAGAGAGGGGGGAATGGGCTAAATTCTGGCAGTGGGGGATATTGCACAAATCATATATGCTTTGGCATCAAGCCCTCAACAAAGCCAGGGGCCTTTACTCGCAGGCTTTGCTGGGAGAGATCCACCCACCTCAAGTGGGATTAATTAAAAGAGGCATGTATCATGCAAATAGTTTCTGTTTCCTTACAGAAATATTCAGCGCACATAACCCAAACCAGCTTGAGAATCAGAGCGAAGCAAGGAAGAAATTGTTTCCTGCTCCCCTAACCCTTTTCCTTTCCCTGTACAGTGAGCGAGAACAGTGAGAAAATGCAGAGCTCCGTTTCTGCCCAACTGCTGTGACTAAATGCTAATGAAGTTGGGGAAAAAAAAGGATTTTTATTAAAGGCAGGAGCTATATCTCAGTAATAAGGTGGCAAATTCTCCAGACGAAATGTGTTTATCATCAGAATAGGATGGTTCAGAACATTCCCCTGAAAACGACCTTTTTATCTTGCGGCAGAGTGCATTAAAAAAAGAAATTGCTTATATTTCTTTGGCACATCAGGATTTTCAGCTCCATGTGACAGTGCCGGGAGAAAGCTTCTTTGGGAAGCTAGAACGACTTTAAGAAAGCATCTTTCTTCTCTGGAAGCTACAGTATTTCCCTAGATAAGCCAAATCCTGACACTTCAAGGAATAACTGCAGAAAATAGAGGCAAAGCAGAGCACAGAGTCCAGAAGTAAGTCACAGGGCAAGCTCAAGTTTCTGCAAGAACTCTTCCTTGCAACTATTTTTCTTCCCTTTAATATCTCAGACCCATTTTCTGAGTCAATTTCCTTCGATGCTACGAAGGCTGTTATTAAAACCAGACCAAGCGGAGCAGAAATTCCAAGGCTCAAAAGCAACTTTTAACAGGCACCGGAGCCTGCTCCACTGTCCCCCTCAGGTGATTTCCCCCCGCAGCCCCTTCCCTGGGATTTCCTCTCGCAGAGTTTAAGTCAGCAGGAGAAACCTGAAGTTGCAGCAAAAAGGCAGACCTTTCCTTCATGCCTTTAGCATCTGGGATTTTTATATCTGAGGCTTTCATAGCTCTAAAAAAAGAGGAGAACCAAGATGCGGTGCGGAAGATGTGTATTGCAGACATTCTTTTTCCACAAAAATGCCAGGCAGGCATGTGCTCCTTTATATATCCAGCTAGAGCACCGTAACAGCACCGAGCTCCTTCATGAGCCGCTGCTTTGCCGGCCGTCAGCGGCAGCCACGAATGTAGCTGTTCACAGGCTGCTTCCCCGAGTGGCTTTCGTAAGCCTGGAAAGCCCTGTCTGATCTCCCTGCCRTCTATCAGTTTGGCATCCCTAAGGCTGTGGTCGGACGTGCTYCTGGCAAGCAGGCTTGGGAAAGGAGGAGTCGGGCAAAAAAAATCAGGAGCAAGGAGAGGTGCCCGCTGGCGAGGAGGGCAAGGCGAGCGCTGCTGGGAGCGATGGGTCTCTGTGCTAGAACAGCAGACACAGCCCTGGGCTTCATCTTCCTCCCTAGGGTCTGGCTTTCTTCTCTGGTGGCACCGTGGAGAAGCAGAGGCCACTGCCCTTCAGTTCTGACCAAAAATCTCCCAGCAAGGGGACTCGGTTTCAACCTGCACCTTTTTAGAGTGAAGTTTAGTATAAATTAGTTGCCTTTAGTAGCGAAAGGCACCTTTGTGTTTCTCCTCCGTGGTCCTAATCCAAGCTAGGATATTCACTGAGGCAAAATTGTGCATTTCATCACTGCCACCGATTCTTTATATTATAAAGAGAAATTACATTACAAATACTGACCCTGAGATTTAAATTGCTAACAGCTCTGGTGTATCTCACCTCTTTAAAAGAAAGCATTTAGTAGTTTCCCCTCCAAAGGGAGGTTATGGTTTTATTTCCAATTACTACTTTTAAAATGAAAATGTGCACATTTTCTTTCTGCTTCTATTTTAACCTGTATTTCTGGAAAACTTTTATTAATTTCAATGTAAATTTATTAAAAATAGAGAGAGCCTTTTTTTCCAATGTGGCCTAATCTACCCATGCCTCTCTCAATTTAGGAAGTTACTGAAGCCCTTGGAATCAGAAACATTTATGAATGATTAGACCATGGCGAAAATAAATATTTTGCAGAAACAACCCCTAGTTAATGCCACACACAAAGACTATAAACTGTATGAAGTTACTTTTTAAAGTTCTGATAAATACAAAGCCCTTGGAAGTAAAGGAAACAATGTTATTATGAAAATGCTTCTCTTTAACCAACCATTTTGTGCTATTAGTCCTATTGTGCTATTAGACCTACGCTATTAGTCAACCAAGGACTGTTTTCAACCGTCTGTAAATTATTTGCACTGTGAAATAGAAGTCAGGCACTGACCACTTGGTTCCACTGATTCTATGAGGGCTTGCTTTTGTTCTCCCCCAGAAGAATGACTTTGGTCTTTATGAACCCCTCAAGTGGATGCAACACAACAGTGGTTCTTAATGTGAGTGAATCTACTTGCTTTGAATCAATTGTCCGAAAAATATACATATATATGTACATATTATACAAATATATATTTTACTGAAAGAGTTTTACCCTTTCAGAAAGTGATATTTGTGTCAAAAAATAGGTTCCCCCACCTTTGACTCACAGCAGGGAATGCTTAATTTAGTTTTGTTACAAAACTGTTCAGCAATGATCCTTGACTTCTGTGCAGAGAGCAGAATCAGTGCGTTACGCTAGAGGAAGAGAACCATGCCCAGCACCAGGAGATATGGATGTCTTACCTGGGGACGCTGGGAGGAGCCCGAGTTGGCCGAGAGGGAACTTGGGGAGGTCCTCCAAGGGCTTCACCACCACTCGGAAATGGAGGCAACGGTCCTGGGCGGAATGGGACTGGGGGAGCCCCCGCTTGAGGGCCTGGAGATGGGATCGCAGGAGCTGGTCCTCGGCCGGACAGAGGTCTGGTTGGGGGGTTATTTAAGGTTGGCCTCCTTGGAGTCGAGGGACTTGGAGGAGGTGATCTAGTGAAATATCAGAGATTAAGAGCTCAGTAAGTTTTTGAGTTTTGTTTGTTTTATAGAAGAGAAAACAACAACAACAAACTTTCTTATATCCGTGACAACATTTTCCAGACAAAACAAAGCACTATTTGGTGACAGAAGCAGCTGCAAACTGAAATGCCAGCTAAGCTATAAGTCCACTGGAGGGTTCTCTCAAAAACAGGCATTTACATACACATCCAGAGAGCGTGTATATGTGGGAAAATGTTTTTAAAAAAATAGCATTTAAATTGAACCATACAGAAGGCATGCTGGCCCTCATCTGCTTTGGGGATTGTTGTGTGGATTTCTGGATCTGGCTTCCTGCTAGCAGAGTATAGGAGAACATAATGCTTTTCATGTTCTAGGAAGGTCAGTGCTTATTGAAACCAGAACCAGTCTTTCCTCAAAGACATTCTTGAGTACAGTACATGATATTAGGAAAGAAGGCTGGTAGAGGGGAGACTAGAAGGAGAACAGTGGTATTTAAAGTCCAGCTTACTTCAGAGATTCTTGGCAGTACGCAATAAAAGAAGCTTACTTGCATGTTCTTCATCTCTCAGGTACTGGAAGCAACTCAAAACATCACCTATATAGCAGTAAATTTTCTGATTTTCCTCATGAATGTCATTAAAGACCTGGAGGACCAGCCTCCCAAACTGACTGAGAGGAAGTGCCGATGATGCCAACACTTGCCTGTCCTAATTTCCATCACAAAATGCACATACAGATCCTTACCTGCGGGCTTGCTGAAGCCAAGAATCATCGACAGGAGGGGGTGCAGGGGTTGACACAGTACTAGTGCTAATGTCACCAATGATTGCTAGAGCTTCCTTAAGAGCTTGGTACATGCGCAGCATTTCATCTCGCCTCTGCGCCTGTTCAGCTGACTCCTCCATTAGAGTGTTTTGGTCCTCAGAAGAATATAAGTGAGCGAGGAGCTCTGCATTGATAAATTCTTTTACCTATTTCATGATTCAAAAAATWAACAAACAAAAAAAGCAACGAAGAAAACCACAGCGTTATTATTAGACTAGCCATTGAAAATACTATACTGAACAAATGCATTGGGAGAACCACTGTATCAGAAGACAAAACACAATTATATTGAATTTGCTACTCCAGAAGTATTACCATTAGAAGAAGGTATAGAAGATACCCAAGGAAATCAGAGCTCAGAAGGAACTACTGTGTTCATTTGTGCCAGGTAGACCACAGTGGAAAAGAAAGTTGTCGGTTAAATGAATGAACTTGAAAGAGAAGGCAATACTCGTCACATGGATTTTTTCCTCTCTAATTAAAAGAAGTTGAATTGGTGGCTGTCARTTCAGTTCTCCACAGTCTTGTACAGAAATCTCACAGGGTTACCATTAGTGACAGTCTTTCTCCTCATCTCTAAGTACTTGGCATGAATATTTTTAAAAACACGGAGCTCCCAGTATTATCCTGCGCCTTGCTAAGTCAACTGGAAAACATTTGATTGTGAAAATGCTGAGATTAGAATATATAACTAAGTAGCGGGTACTGGTGAATTTGCATATTTTGCTTATCAAACTTTCTAACGTTTTTTGAAACCGACAGGATGGAAATGAAATACTTCTGTACGTACGTCTCTCTAGGAGCTCCCTGTGGTTTCAGCCCATCTAGGTACAGCTGCTTCTTACTTCAGCTGCATCTTCCTACTGCCTTGTTTATGGCAATTTCAGCAGCCCTGCAGCTTTSTATTAGGCTAGATCATGGACTAATCCAGCTGAAAACTCTCAACAGAAGATAAATGCTCAAAACGCTGGTCATAGAAAGCCAGGCCAGATTAAGAGAGGTAAAAAGCTAGAGGCACTCTAATAARTAAGACTGTGGTAAACAGCCCAAATGGTGACCTACTAAGACCTTGCCTTTGAGACTTWTGTTGTTTTTCTGATCTATTTCTCATCTGGCTTTTTGCTCTATGAAGCTTATTTGAGCTGGAGATGCTAACGATAATACATTCCCAGGATTCTGGTTACATAAACCTGAGCTGCGTTTGCAAGGAGGGCTGYGCTAGTTTAACTAAATGGATTTTAAACCTGACAGTTAGACAACATATGTGGTCAGGCAACATCAGTAGGGACAAACAAACTGCACGGGCATGGGACCCTTCACTGTCACCTAGCATTGAGAAGGAGGCCAAGGAAGGACCTTTCAGGGGAACAGACCCATATTGACTATGCTCTGCTGTCATTTCCCGTTCACGTATGATGGGACATAGACAAATTCTTAGCAAAGCCTGCAAAAATTTCCCATGAGTCTCATGCTGTTTTCCAGTAGATGGTACTGATCAAGAGCCAGAATACACTACTTGCCTTATGATTGCCAAAAACTCCACATTAAAAACAGATATCACAGTTAAACAGCATCACATTCAACTTGATGAAGTGAGCATTTTAATGGCAACACTTCAGAAAAAGAAGAAGWAGTAGTCCTGAAATTAAATTAAGGCCAGAGACGATTGTAAAAGAATTGTTAAACCACAAGTATCTGTTTGAAAAAATCAGCCTGTGACAATTATCATGAGATCCTGGCCTGCCACTAGCACAAGACACAAGTAACTCCCTAAACTCTTCTGGAAGGAGATGACTTCTACGTTAAGGACAATCGTTCAGTCAATCTCCTTCCTTCTACAGACAGATGCGCCTTACTAGATTGTGCTAGATCCTCCACAACAACTGTTTTCTCCTGACTGGAAATGAAAAGGAAAATGACACTTAYTTGTGCCTTGCTCTTTTCTAGAAAAAAGAAAGCAGATCACAGGAATGGTTTCAAATGTGTTAATTCAGGGATACGGGTCTGCAGTCAGAGCTGAACAACAGCACATGTTCTATATGGCAATACTCAGACYGCCCTGTCACTCCAAAACAGGGAGAAAAGTGCTTGCAAGGAAGCTTCAGCCATCGSTCCAGTTGATCTAGTGGGACTGGCTACTACAGACACCAATGGCTCACATGCAAGGACAATTAATTCCTTGATTGTCCATTTGCTATTAATCTTTTTGCTATTAATGACTTCGTTGTTTTCCTGATGAGATTAGTATCTTATGAGCAAAGACTAAGCGAGCTAGGCCTGTTGAGCCAAGAGAAGAGAAGACTGAGGGGGGATTTTATCAATATGTACAAATATGTGAGGGGAGAATGTAAAGAGGATGAGCCAAACTCTTCTTGGTGGTGGCCAGTGATCAAAGGGTAATGGGTACAAATTGAAACACAGGCAGTTCCATCTCCATATGAGGAAGAACTTCTTGACTGTGAGGGTGACAGCCCTGGAACAGGCTGCTCAGAGAGGCTGTGGAGTCTCCTTCTCTGGAGATCTTCCAAATCCACCTGGATGCCACCCTGTGCCCCGCGCTCTGGGTGTCCCTGCTGGAGCAGGGGAGTTGGACTGGATGATCTCTAGAGGTCCCTTCCAACCCCAACCTTTCTGTGACTCTGTGAATATCAATCACCTTCACCTATGGAGATACTTCATCTATTGTGAGACCACCCCTCTTGTATAATCTGTGGCATCCAGGCWCCATGAAAAACAAATTCTGAAATGTGCGTTTTGTTTGTGCCTGTTTGAATTTCCAGCCGTAACTCAATGCAGTTCTTTGTGGTAAATATATTTTCTTTAAGGTAATCAACATTCACCCTAAGGGAAGAACATGGGATGCGTTTGGAACACAACAATCCAAGCTTAGGCCTCAACACAAGCTTTAGAGACAGCATCTAATTATCTTCGGTAYGCTACGTTTGAATCTGATACTTTCTCTGAATTGCAAGTGCTCATTTAGAGGCCCACAAAGCTGAAAGGAAGCTCCAGGAGTCCAGGGAGGTTAAAATTGCCATGGAAACAACCCCCCGGGGATCAATTTGTTTTGGAGGCAACGTGATGGGGCAACAGAAAGAACCCAACGTGATCATTAAAGGTGGGGGGTCTCTTTCATTTAACTCCTGGTGATGGAGTGAAGACTCCAGCTCATGCACTGTTTAAGAGGACCCACCTTCCCTCAGAGCTCCACTGCTTTCCAAGTGTTTACAGAACCTTTTTGCTCAGCTCAKCAATAAAGCTTAATCAAAGCTTTATTTCCTTTAAATAGCATTGATTTTTTTAAAAATTCCTATCTTCCTTACTGTTTTTTAGCATGGTATCATACTGCCCATGCTGCACAGACTGAAGCACATAAAAGTTTCAGTCTCATTCTTAACAGTCTTTTAAAAAGCTGGGATTCATTGGCACAAATTTCCACGCCAGACTTGTGCTATAGGTCTTAGTTAATGCCAGCAAGCCCAAGCACAGGCTCGGAAGGGAAGATCATGTTAAAAGGGTGTTGTTACTGGGTGCCACTGTCACCCAGCGTGGCAGGCTTCCCTCGTGGAACAGCTGATGGGAGTGAAAGCACAAAACATTACAGTATTTTATTTCTGAGTAAGGCACGCACTTCGGGGACCCTTAAACTCTTCCATATGAGGAGGTGAGTGGCAGAAAATTTAATGTAAACTTTCCAAAGGAACTGCCCACCGAAYGCGGCATTTTACAAAATGGGAGCTGAAAAACAGCCCATTGAAAAGGCACTGAAGTTGTGCAGAGTCTAAGCAGGAAGCTGCCAGCTTTGATCTGGAAAGTGCAGAGGGAACGTGACCACTGCATGAATTAAAAAACTCTGCTGATGGCAGTGAAAGGAAGGTATTTCCATCAGTCCCAGGGTCTTTTGCAAAAACTCACCCATGACTACAGCATAATCTGGAGTCTGACTTCCTTAAATATACATATATATTTCACTTGGTGTGAAAACTTTGCTCATATTGTATGGACGAGGAAATCCTACTGAAATTTCTTATCCTACCACCTTAAACTCTTCATTATAACACAAATTTCACAGGGTTAAGTGAGATCGATCAGACCAAAGCTAGAGGGGGCTGAGTCAAAAATAAATGACATTTTTTGAACAGATTTGCTTTTTTCTGTATTGTATTCTGATTTGTTTGATGCCTTAACAATTATGCTATCCATAACTAACAGAAACTGTGCTTTCTATAATTAATTTATATGGCAGTGAAAGCAAGCTTAGTTCAACAAGATCTGCTCAGAACTCCGCCAGGAAGTGAAGGTTGAGATCCTAGTCCAGTGGAAAAACAACGATATCACGAAGTTATTCCCTTAATCAAACAGCCTTCAGATCAAAGCAGCACACACGGAATAAATCAGACGACTACACCTGCTTATCTAAATAACTGTGCTCAAGGATTGTAGAGTTATTCCTTAAAAAAGAGATAATCTGCAAATATAAAGAAATACAAACGAAAGAGCCGCTCAAGCACCCACCACRGATTCACAACTCGGCTCTGCTGCTCACACAAACTGCCCAAATGGAGCTCCCAACTCCAGCTTGTCCCATGACATTAAAAACAGACAGAAAAGGATTTTACCTTTAAATTACATATTTTACACAATGATAAAGAAGCCAATTCAATCTTATACTAAAAGTAATGTAGCATTCTCAAGTAAGCACATGAAACACTGCCCCCAGCCTTTCAGAAAGCTGCAGAATTTTGTTAGTACTGCTACAGAAGATGGGAATATTTCGTTTTAGAGTGCAAAATTTTAGGCGCCTCCACCTCTTTGCTATGTTCAACAGCTACATTCAAGAGGTGTATTTCTATAAAGGCCRAAGATGTGGCAGATATGGAAAGCTAACGTTGAACCTTGCTACTTACGTTATTGATCATAAGGTGCATGATTGTTTTCGGTATCAAGTCTCGGATACACTTGTTGATGATAGACATGTAGGAGTCCACAAGATTGCGAATTGTCTCCACCTGTCTCTCCAGCTGGGGGTCCATTGAAAAGTTGTCTGCTTGGTCATTCTCTTCGTTTTCTGTCTACGGAGAAGCATAAATGTAAAGTCAAATCTTTCAGAAGGCTGAAAATGGAAACCAATTGGGAATCAATGTGGACTAACATTGCAGTCACCCAGCAACATAATTCACACAGAGAACGTCTGGAGGTTAAAATATGAAGTACCGGCCTGTTTAACATTAGTGCTCAGCATCACAAAACCTCAGCGTTTCGAGATTGCTGTAATATAAGATGTATATTTTCACAGAGTACATTATATAYTTCTGCACAAACTTGGAATTTTATATCAAAGGAAGTGTTGGGATGTGGAGGTGAAGGTAAAAAAAAGCCCAAGAAATTATTTCACATCACTTGGTGCAAATCCTTGACCCCTGAGATTCAGTGAGCCTGACACTCATACAAGCCCTGAGCAGTCCTGTAAAGCTGGATTTTGAATTTGACCCTCCTATGATTAAAAAGCMTCTTTGTTACTTTAGGCTGATTCAGTTGTGACAAATTCCACAGTTCAATCCCAAACTTATAAGATATGAATAGCACCTCTATAAACAAAGGAGTTGTGACATGACATAACTCCTTTGGTTCCAGTGTACCAAAGCTTCAGCATAGCACAGGCTGGTTTACACATCAGAGATCTCTCTTTGGACTGAAATAGCTTATTTGTATGTAAACAGCTGACCTCGTTATATAAAATACCACATGCTTTAACAGGAAGCTAAAAGATACATAATCTTACTTCAGTCTAGAGGGTTTAAAAACAAGAAAACGTAACACAGGAAAAAAATTATTTTGACAAAAAAAAAAAAGAAGAAGGAAAGGAAAGGAAAGGAAAGGAAA